ACTCCCATTGCTCCCCGGGCGCTATACAATAGCTGCCCACTGCTCCTAGAACTAGACTCCTGGTACTAGGATGGGTTAAATGCAGAGAACACATTTTGCTGTGTGCTGTGCATGTGTGACCATTAAAGAGGGTTTCATCCCTCCGATTCTATTTCATTCTATTAAAAAAAAAAAGAAGTATTTTTGAATTCAAGTGCCAGTGTGTGTGTAGTAGAGGCATCACTTACCGACTTCAGTGGCACAGGTTACTAGCCATCGAACCATCTCTCTCCTTCTCCAGTTCAGTGTGGACAGAGTCATCCTCATCACCTGCGAGGCAAACATGAAGAACGTTATGTATTTTCAGCTACTTTGTACAGAGGGACAAAAGCATCTATTAAACACATATTAATAAATCCAGTATTTCCCTCGAATTCATTGAGTTTTTGACAAAACACCTCAAAATATATTTATAATTAAATAATAGTACAACACCACATGTCTTCAGTGATGATAGATGGATCCAAAAAAGTGTTAGGATTACACAGGTGTCTAAATGTGACCCTTCCATTTTCTTTATTACCAGTGTTGCTGTCAGGACTTCAGCTGATACAGTTAAATGCCAGGAGGAGGAGGAGGAGGAAGAGGCGGTTGAAGCCACAGCTATGCCGCAGCCTTGATGATCTGAAGCTTTCTTTTTTCCTATGTTTACCGTAAAACCCAAAAGGCTTAATTATGTGGTTTCTTCTCATCAACAACGGAGAGGCGCTGTGTGATGTTTTCTCTGCTAATTTGTAGTGAGGCTGAGGAGGCCTGCACAAATTACAAGTTCAAGGAAGCCGTAGCATGTTTCAACGAGTGACCAAATGATTTATGAAAACGGCTGACTCGCCCTCAAACACTTGCTCTCCACACACACACACACACACACACACACACACACACACACACACACACACACACACACACACACACACACACACACACACACACACACACACACACACACACACACACACACACACACACACACACACACACACACACACAGTACCTGAAGGCCTAGCTCCAGTGCCACGTTGAGCAGAGTTATATCGGGCGGGTTGTCTGCGGGGGTGGCGATTTTAAAGGCATCCTGGGCCAGTTTGAAGATTAAGGAAGAGGAGTGGATGTTCTTCTGGATCGCCTCCAGCACCGTGCGCAACCTCAACATGTCACCTGCGGGGAAATAAAAGGTTATTAACAGCCACACAGTGTTTGAGAGACACCTGACGGGGACATCTCTCCACTGAGACCACAGCTATGGGTGAAGTGATGAGTACCTTTAGCAGCAGTGAGCATGGTGGAGGCCAGCTCACACTGCTGGGACTCCAGGTGACCCAGAGTGAACCAGCGCGGGTATCTACTGGGAACGATGGAGATGCCGTGGTGAGGGTGCCCCCCGTCCCCGGAGCCTGCGGAGGACTCCAGCACCGGCAGCCTGATGGAAACACACAACATTAGGTATTTTTAGTTCAAATTAAACATCTAGGATGGATTTCAGCATTAGAATTTGAAAAACACCCATGTGTAATCTAGTTTATAGATTAAATACATTTACTTATGACCACAACATTCAATGCAGATAACACAATACACCATCAAAAACACACAGATATACAATGGTGCAAAAGGGCAGGTAGCAGCAAAGAAGTCATATAAATAATAAAAGAGAGATGCAGTCATTTTGTATTTGATGCCTGAAAGACTTCTTGTGTATTAGATATATAAATATATATTGATGTATGTTCTACCTTAAAGGTGGCATTTTAACGTACAATAATAAAAGGTGGAGTGCTTTAAATAAAAATGCAGATAGTTGGACATACGTTTGGTCCATCACCACAAATGATTGACAGCACACTAAGCCATAATGAATGAAGTCTGTTTTAGAGCCGTGCTGATAAGTTGATTGGCAGAAAGGAAATATCCAACTATTTTAATCATTGATTGAAGTATTTCTTAAGCAGAAATTGCCTTTCATAGATCAAACTAATTGATACATCTAGAAAATGATCAGCAAATTAATGCATAATGACACATCCGTATAATGCGCTCATAATCCCTTGCTACAGGCTCGAAAATGACCAAAAAGCTGAATCATCTCTGGTCTTAAACAACTTAAATAAAACGGAATATCTCAACAGGTTTCAGGCTGTGTTTAAACTCCTTTGGACCTCATGAACTCAATATCCTATATAATTCGGTTTGACATTGGCTGAAATTATTCATGGTGTTGGGAAACTGACCTCATGGCGCGCAGAGCCACCTTGTATGCCATGTCTGCGTCGTGTGGCAGCAGGGCGGTGAAGAGGTACTTAGCAAAGGTGTGCATGGGAACACTCTCCCTGTGGATGACCTCACCTAGACCGCTGAACGGACCAGCTGGATCAAGAGAAAGAATGAATTATGTTTAGTTTAGTTTTGCTTCTCAACAATGTGGAAAGACCAGGTGGCACACAAAGATGTCATACCTTCTAGTAGCTGGACGGACTGTTTCCGAAGAGTCTGAACCAGGAGGTCGTCTAGCTCGAGTTCTTGAAGTTTCAAGACAATCTGCTCCTCGTTACGACACACCTAACATATCAATTCAACATTTAAGTTTCAAGGCTTTATTGCTACAGTGTAGATATGACAATGACACACTTAAGTCACAGGATATATAGGACATAAAACAAATAAAACAATAGAATAGAGATAAAACATAGTCACAAATTGCATTTTATTCACTGTGATCAGACAGTAAATGTTCAATTTAAAAATTATGGAAAATGGGCCAAAATGCTCCCTTGAAACATAAATAAAACCTCTGGGAGAGATGCAAAGAGATTGATATTTTCAGAATTCAAGGATGTAGAGTTCAGATTTGTGATTTATAACTGTTAAGCGGGAGGAACCAGTGCAGAGAGGGGATTTTGAGTTTGTGGTATTAAAGCACCAGCAGGGTTCTTTAATACCACTGACTAACATCTGTGTGTATCTACATTCACAGTGAATATGTGATTTCATTTCACTATCAAGAATTCCTTTACGAAATGCGAGTGCTTACATTTTGCAACCCCAATGTGTGTCTTCTTTTCCATGTTTTTCAAAGCACTTTGCCTTGTTGTTAAAATTGTTACACAAATAAACTGACCTTGTCTAAAACATTCATATTTTTGCTGATTGCACCTGACATTAAGAGCCATTTTTGCACTCCAAATCAGATTTACATAAAACAACTTAATAGCGACAACATGACCTTTTCTCTTTTTTTGCATAGCAAATGCTTCACACAGATGTTCAATGAAAGTGTTTTTCTAACGTTGTCTACACCATGCAAATTCACACAGCTTGTTTTAATATGCAACAAACCATTTATGTTTTCTTACATGAGGAGGTAAAGTCTGTTTTTGGATTAGGTTAAAATGTATATTGTGTATTTTCAGGATTAGTGTACCTTATCCTGAGCGTAGAGACCCTCGGGCATTATCCTCTGCTGGCCCATTCCCATCAGAGCTACCTCTAAGGCCAAAGTCAGGTAGGACTCCCCTCCATCAGAGCTGCCCCACACGGGAACATGGTGGTAGACCGGAGGCCTGAGGTCACCATCTGAGAGGAAGGAAGAAAGAAAGAAAGGTATTTAGTTAACCAAAAGAAGATGTGTTTAAATCTCAAGAGAAATACTAGTGTTATTACAATGAACTGATATGTCATTGTGTTTCGAGATGAGCCTACTGCCCTCTCAATCTCATACCCAAAAGATCACAACAAAGATAATAGTTCCTGTACTTGAGTGACAGTCATCATTTCTGGAAAGAGACCTTGCTCTAGAGTTTTTCAAATGGTTTGTGTTGCTCAAAGTGCCCCAAAATAAATATATGAAAGCCATATAATTCCAATATATTGAAGAAAAAGGCACACATCTCTAGTGTTATGTTTACTAAAGACTCAAATGTTGATTTATTGATTAAAAAAAAACAATGGGAAAGAGGGAAAATATGTATTTTTGAATTTGGGGTGAACCTCCCATTACATTTTCAGAGAAAATTATGCTTGGTATGACCGGTGTATATTTAAGCAATAGCTCACGACAGGCCGTGGTATATGCTCATTATATCACAGCTAAGGGGCGTGGTTCGGCCCGAAGCGAAGCCGTGCATAATATCACGGCCTGAAGTGAGCTATTGCTTTTATAAAACGGTTACCAAGTGTGGCAATATGAAAGAAGAATACACACTCTAATTTAAATAGTTTTTATTAAAAACTATTTAAATTAGAGTGTGTATTCTTCTTTCATATTGCCACACTTGGTAACCGTTTTATAAAAGCAATAGCTCACTTCAGGCCGTGATATTATNTTTCGTCCCTACTTTCTCTGACCTCCCGGCGGCCGTATTCAACATGTTGAATCGGCCGCGGGAGGTGTTAAAATGTGCCGTAAAGAGACGACGGTGCGGGACACACCAACCTGAGTAGGGCGCCGCGAATGCCCGACTGCCTCTGACTCGACAAAATCGGGTAGGTGTGTCAGGGCCTTTAGAGTTTTACTCGCTACAGGGTGTACTTTGAGGGTTTGTGACTCTGCAGACCGTTTACATGCAGAAAAAGCTACATAACACACAAGGGGACGGGTAATAACCGGAAAAGCATGACATGGGCCCTTTAAAACAGTTCTGACGAAATACATGTGACACCATGTAGCTTGAAAATTTACGTTTCTTTAAGTTTCTAAATCCTTTTTTCTATCCCATGTTTATTTATGCCTAAGCTGAAATATGAATGTTTAGATGAATCCCAGTGGGACTCACTATATATGACAGAGCAGTGTGATAAGTGCCATCTACCTTCAACCAACACAGACTTTGTGTGGGGGGAAGATACCAGGGCTATTTTTGCTTGACATGCAATTCATCTTTTCGTCCTTTGCTGCCATTGTTGGACTTCCTTCAAAATGTGTTTATTCAAAATCCAGTTATAAGGACAAAGCCTAAAACACAAGGCTCTGGTACATAATCTTTGAGATTCTCAAAGAGCTTCCAAAACAACTCCATTATATTTACTAAAGACTTCTGCAGAGGTTTGATTCTAGGATTAAAACGTTACATTTCTTGGTGGTATTAATGCTATGTATCTCAGTGTGGCGGCAGCAAGATTTATTTAATACATTTTGTGGCAAAGTACCAATTGATAACCTCATTTACTTTGGTGTGTTTCATGTGTGGTTGGTTAACAACTCTTCAAATGTTAAGTCCAACTATCTTTTGAGTTAGTTGAGTTGGTTATAAAGACTTGAATAGTGGCTATAAAAAGTTTATATGTCACTTCTTTTCTCAAGGACAGCAGTTTGGAGTTGCAATGGTTACACTCATTTTAAAAGGTCATCCAGTTTAAATGCCAAAAAGTGTCCTTAGAAACTTTTCTGCTCTCCACAGTATAGCACAATGTGTTTTTAACTCATTCACACTCATCACTAGCTTGGTTGCTAATGAGAAACATAAACATCTAACTGAGCTAATGTGAGCGAAACTGAGCAAATATACTGAGAATACAGATGGAGATCTTTGTAGTACAGTTAAACCACAATGTAGAACTACTCCAATCGTATTACTAAATATATATAAAAAAAGGTTTTCATTATGCAAAATGATCCATTTCAAATGTTTCTTTAATTACTGATACACTAGTAGAAACATGATTTAAATGTTAAATGGTAAATGGACTGTACTTATATAGCGCTTTATCCAGTCTTTACGACCCCTCAAAGCACTTTACATACTACATGTGTACCTTACTCTAGGACCTAACATTCACACACCGTCGGCCATGCCATCGGGAGCAACTCAGGGTTAAGTATCTTGCCCAAGGATACATGATGACATGTTGGCTGCACGGGCTGGGATCGAACCCACAACCTTCTGGTTGAAAGACGACCGCACACCCTCGCAGCTACAGTCGCCCCTTAAAATGATTATTTTGGTAAACGTTGAGCTAACTCAAACTACTTTACACACTGCTAGGTAGCTTGTGAAGTCCTTCCTTATAAATTGGTTATATCTTGTTATAAAAAGTGAATATGCAGTGTAGCTAAAGTTATCAAACACATTCAATGAAGACATTATTCTTTCTGAGATGTGGTAGAAGTTTATATAGCAGAACATGTAAAAACACAAGTACATTTAAGTACCTGAAGATTGGATTATACTGTACGTTTTTTAAAAGTTTCCTCAGACAATTGAATGCATATTAGATTTGAAACCATCACCATGGTAGCTGTTGTGAATCCAAGCCGATAGCATAAAAGAAGAAGACTTTTCAGAGCCTCCTAGAAGACTACAGAAGGTCTTCAGTGGATTATAATGCTCTCCTGTGCCGGTACATGGTTTTACAACAGCAGAGTCATTCAGACAGAGACAGAAAGCCTGAGTGCTCCAGTATCTGATTGGAGAGAATTCAAGGACGGGAAGTAACAACAGAAGCAGCTCTTAGCAATCTTTTGAGAACATGATAATGCTACTGTTTCCTGAGCAGAAAGCGCCAGCACTGTAACTACAGGTGGAGCTGGCACCTGGTTTGAAGAGCTCGATGTGGGCTCTGTGAGTTTTAGATTACTGGTGTGAGGGAGAGCATTCATGGCCGCCCATCAAAAGACTGCTTTGTTCGGCCAAAGCGTCCTTTTTCTGTGTGTGTGTGTGTGTGTGTGTGTGTGTGTGTGTGTGTGTGTGTGTGTGTGTGTGTGTGTGTGTGTGTGTGTGTGTGTGTGTGTGTGTGTGTGTGTGTGTACACAGTCAGGGTTTCTCTGTGGGTTTCACACTCCCCTTTGATATTCTCCATCTCAGTGAGGGTTCACTCTCACTCTCTGACACACACTATGGTACAGTACATGTATGTAGTGCGGGGATTTGTGAGCCATGTCACTGTTGACTCTCACATCTCTGTAACTAAGGGCCTGGTTTTCTTTAGCGAGAGCCATCGTGAATAAATGTAATGAGAATAGTTTTTAACTATTTTTTTTACTAAAAAGCATTTTCTTTTTCTATAAATAATCAGTCACATAATGTGTAGGTTTGTCTTATTGCTGTAGTAGAAACTAAAGAGCTGTTGTTGTATGAACTACAACTAACTATTTTCCCAGTCAAGCCAAGTATTGTTCGTCTCATTATTTTCGTATTACATGCATATGAGAAAGACTGATACAAATTCACTAGGCTTTGTACTTTGGTTGAATAAGGTTTTATATTCTTCATTTTTAAAAGTTGCAATAAACACGTTTTTTCGTTTTTTTTAACTTGCCATTATGAAGTACATTTTGATCCTGAAACTGTGATGGATTGATACAGCCGTGTTTTGATTGGTCGCCACCATGTAAAATCTCTAAATAGATTAATTGATTCAGGTTGCACTTTTTGTTGTTGTTCTTTTTGTTAGTATCCTATAAACAGCATTTGCATTTCTATCCTCAATCGCGTAAATGGGTTTCACACTCCCCCTGAGGGAACAATCAAAGTGGAAAACAAAATGCAGTGTCTTTGGTTCTAGGTAGTTTCTAGGTTTTGAAGCAAGAGAAGAGCAATCTGGATGTATTTGCAGCTGCGGCACCAACCATTATATCACTTAAATAGGTACAAATAGAAAAATGTGATCACAACTGGCTACCACTTGGATAGGCCACATAATATCCATGTTAGTATTTTTAAAACTGGTCGTTGGGATTATTATTGTACCTAAATGTAAAATAAGAGAAACCCAAAATACTCGAAAAACCAAATGTGCACCTTTCACCTCTTCGTGCTTTCTGATGGATGACCTTTCTGTCACTTACACTCAAAGCAAAAGCAATAAAGTCCAGAGAGGGAACTTTACCTGCAGGTGCATTGAGGTGCATTGTTTCCATTGGACCTATGAAGGCGTAACGCATTCCCAGCCCCTCTGACATCAACAGATCGATGTCCTTCACAGAGATAACGCCATCCTGAAAAAAACAAACATATTTACTCTTGATTTATTCTCACTTTGTCTTCCTTTACAAAAGAAAGATACGCATCAGTCAGGCAGTGAATGTGTGACTAAATCTAAAACGGACACATACTTTCTTTATCTTCAGTACAGTGTGAACCCGGCGACCCTGAGCCATCAATCAGCTGTTTTCAACTGATTTCCATGTATTTCATTGTGGAGAGTACAGATACAAAGGCAGAAGTTATAAAGTTAGTAAACTAATGTCTACAATTATTAAAAGGGGAACACAAGTTGATCAAATAAAATAAGTAGCAGCGTTATAAAGAGAACGTGTATTCGATAGTGATTCCTACAATGGTGTAGCAGTCTGTGGAAGTGGAGTAGCAGCCAGTAGTAATAACAATAAACTGCAAATAGCAGTGAGGTGGCACAACGGTGATGTTACAGTGTGTATTGGTCGCCTACCAGCTAGTACATAACAAAACAGCAACCCAGCATCACATAGCAACTATATGGCAAAATAAGGATAAATCTGTTGGGGAAATATTTTCCTAGGCCCATAACTTTGACCCAGTTTATCAGTTTCTAATGACCTCACTGAGCACAGCTGCTCTCAGTGTTTTGTCCTATTCCTGCCTGTTGGCGTCAGCTGATAGAGGTGTTATTGTGCTTTGCCGGTTTTATCTTGTTATGCACAAAGTTGATTATTCTCTCAGAACTAGTTAAACACATGGGTCTGGAGAGATCTTCAGAATTGGTTTGGCGCTGTGTCAACTCGTGGCACAGCCCATGTCTTGTGAATTCTCCGGCCGAAGCTCCAAATAAACCGTCAGTGTTTGCCATCAAAGTTCCTGCTCTCCCCGTGTCTCTCTGAGTCCTGACTCCATTGCTCCAGAAGTTTCCATCACAAAAACTACAGCTCAAATTTTAATCTCAGGTCATTTATTCCTGCCACAGTCAGACTTAACAACCAACACAGCCTTTGCAAGACCACCAAACCAATACCGACTTTAACACCTATGTCCACTACCTCAGAGTGTTACACTACTGTTAAAGAGATGACTGTGCCATGTGTGCATTTTACACTTTTTACGCACTTCTGATAGTATCACTTGATGCTACCTCATTACTTTTATATGTTCACCAACTTTTTATCATTCTGCTACTTATTTTTATTGTACACATTTGATTTTCTTTTATTAACACGTGCTTTCCTCTTTATTTAATATGTTACTTTACTCGTCTACCAATCCTATTTCTGCCTTTCGTCTGAACTGTCCCTGTTCTTTAACAATCTATTTCCCCGCTGTAGGACGAATAAAGCATTTCTGATTGTGATGTTACAACACAATCTTTACAGTGGAGGTCAGGTCATGGCTTTTTAACCTCAGTGTTTTTGACCAACCAAATGTCCTTTGATCCCAACTACTCCCACTGTATAAAGTTTCCCTCATCAGCCAATTGTGTGTCCTCAGGATTATGTTGTAGCAACGAGAGGATGGAAGGAAGCAGATGGAGGGAGCGGTTCAGATAATCTCAGGGTTAGAGATACCTGTTGGCCGACCACGCTGGAAATCAAAGCTCGTATTCGGAGACAGAGAGCGGGGTGGGCGAGAGGGGAGGGACAGGGTCGTCTTTGTTTGGGTCCTCCGTCCAACAACGGGCCTGTTATCTGAGCAGAGCGGGGCGGTGGGTGGGGTCTTTTCTCCACCGTAATCACTGGGGGGCAACCAGCCACTTTCTCAGCCGCTCTGCTTTCCAACGCTGGCCCTGACTCAAGTACCATTTTCTCTGTGTGTGTGAGAGAGTGTGTGTGTGTGTTTAAAGGGGTTTAGGGAGGGTCTCTGTTATGTAAACTGACTCACAAAAGGCCTTGATGGTCAATGACAAACTTCTAGGGACATTTCAGGTTTTTTCCTAGAAGTACTAAGGGGTGATTGAAAGGCTAACACGCCTTTAGTAACTGGTCACTTACAATAGACACAGATTTAACCTTGTGGTATCTATTGAGCGTCTTTCTCCCATGCTGTTTCACTTTTTTTCAGATTAGCCCGGTTACAAAGTATATTTTATTCATCGAATCATCGTGTATTCATTTCATTGAGACATTTGTAATCTATTCCGAATATAAAATCATACTTCTACATAAAGTATAGGTAAATCATAACAAAGGCAAATAAATAAAGAATGAAACTGAAATACAAAATAAGTAAAACTCAAATCTAATTGGTAATAGAATTAAAATTAAAGCTGATTACAAAGCAATCATCATACAGTTCATATTTCGTCATGGGTCGGACAACACAGAGGGAGGATTTCACACATAATCACAAAGCTATGACGCAGTGGAACTTAATGTCTTTGTGCTTTTCCTATTGTCAAAATATCCATAAATCACATATTTACATCACAAGTGGTTTAGCTTTTATGCAACATGACTTATGTATAATTCATTACCATAGACGTGCATGACACTTTTGACTTCTGCAGGGGCTGGGTATCAAACCACTGACACTCCAAACCAGTCTCAAGGCATTTCGTGTTATAGTGATGAAATGTATCTATTGATTCGTGTTGGTGAACACGAATTAATAGATTACATTTCGTGACTATACACGAAATGCCGTGCGACTGGGTTGCACCCTCTGAATGGTACTGGCCTATTTTCAAGTCATAGCCATAACTTCAAAGGCATACATTTGCATAAAATAGTTAAGAACCAAGATATGCAAGAGAAGCATTGTCTTTCCCCCTATTTACTATTTGCCCAAGGAGAAACACTTTTAACACAGTGGTGTTTTGCTTACAAAATGACTTCCTGCTGTCAGTGGTCTCAGCCTTAACTGAAGTTACTAAACAGCTGTTTTTAAAGGATTGTTATAAAACGGACAAGTAAAATCAAGCAATCTGATTGGTTCTTAGCCGTGATATACTGAGCGTATACCACGGGTAGAATTGTAAGTTACTTTTCACAACAAGTCAGTATCCCTCCGCGTCTGAGAAAAACAGTATACCGTTGGGTTGAAAAGCAAACTGGAACAAGAAAGCAGCGGAGAAGTAACGGGGCAGAAAGCCTCCTTTTTACGCAGCGGTCCAGACATAGACATCAAACGGCAAAAGATATTCAGTGTGCAGTTCCTTTGGCATTAGGGCAGGGATATCTAGATACTTTCCAAGCTTTAACATAATGAATTGTGCTACTTTTAAAGCAAGCAACGATGTTTTCAAATCTGTAATCAAAGAGGTCCGCAAAAACGCTATCGACCAATCAGATTGCTTGATTTGACTTGTCAGTTTTATAAATATATTTAAATTTTTTCCGTTACGAAACAAACTTACAAAGCATAAGATGGAAACATTTAAGATTAACTTCGACCTCCGGGGGGGTCTTACTATGGAGGAGTGGATTTAGCAGTGCCTATCTCCAGAAAAAAAAAGAAGCACCTAAACGACGACATGCAGAGCTACGTGAAGAGCAGGTAGACCAACTGGAAAAGTACCACCATTCAAAAGCTGTGGCCACTAACGGACCGTTAGTGGCCACAGGTGCGAAAGCTCTCTCCAGAGCTACTGGAAGCCCAATCTCGGGGACCAGAGAAAGTGGAGCAATATTCTCGCCACACCAAGCAACAGCCTAGAACAACCTCAGCCTACAAGTGACCACGTAAGCCATGCTACTGTACTATGCTGGACAGTTTTTCAGTGGGTGCACAATAAACGGCAACACACATTAATGTAAATAAACAGCCAAATAATGGATCAACGCTCTCTGTCTAATATGTTCGCCAGCTGTTAGTGTCGTTGCATAGCAACCACGTCGCACTATGTTTTGTGCAGAAGGCAACGGAGGGACCATTTTATTTTGAACATCATTATTTACTAATAAAAACTATTTAAATTAGAGTGTGTATTCTTCTTTCATATTGCCACACTTGGTAACCGTTTTACGGTTCGCGTCGGGCCGAACCACGGCCATTAGCGGTGATATAATGAGCATATACCACGGCCTGTCGT